CCGTTGGCTTAGTAATCAGAGTCGTCACTCTTTGCCCGTCGGCATAGTAATGATCTTCTTATAACTCCCAAGCAGTATCACATGAATCAGTAGAGGATAACACCAAACCATATTTAAACAGCCCGCCGGCTCACCATCTTGTACAGGTTAATTTGTCTCCAACCAACGGTTTAACCAGTCTTTTCTTGTCTTTCACACACACACACACAGTAGTATCACAGTAATATAACATAAATTTTAATCATATATACACATTTGTTTACATCTCATCAATGCATTGCATCAAACAGACATAATTTAGCATAATTAAAAAAAAACCCTTAAAATATCGTACAGTAGACAGATGTCGTCGTTGTAAAATGCACAGTTTTAGAAAATTATCAAATTACCAAAGATCGTGTAAAACAATGTTTCAAAACTTTTATTATACTGAAGCAATATTTTTCAACTTCTAGATAATTTTCTATTTGATAAAATCCCCACAGAATTCAGAATACTCGGTGAAAAATCATCAGAAAATACTCAAAACATGTAAAATCATATTCTCTATAACATACAAAAAGTTACGCAGTGAAAGTTTCATCGATACAAAGTTATGCACATTTTTCGGTAACGAAAACACAAATCTGACCAGAAAAATACCAAAACACGATATCTTCAAAATTAGAAATAGGATTCGGACTTCTTACTGCGAGATGAACAATTCTTCCAACTGTGATGACGGACGAAAATCGCTCTGCGGCCTCCGAAACCAAACTTGTCCTTCTCTTTCTTCTCTCTCCAGCCTTTTCTCTCCTCAAAATTGATCAAACGGTCCTTATATAAAAAATATATATTTACATTTGTATGGACGATCTTTAAGTTCGTATCGGGACAATCAGCTCTGTACACATATCATACGGACGATATTTTTTGTTCGTCCCGGGACGATCTGCTCTGTCAAAAAAATCAGTTCAGTTCGTACAGAAGAACTTATGGTTCGTACAGACGAACTTAGTTCGTACTAACGGTTCGTACAGACTAAATGACAAATTTTTAACAGTTCATCTGTACTAAGGTCAGTTTGTACAGACAAACATGAACCCCAAAAAATAAAATTTGGAGGGGTTTTACATCACATAGTCAGTTAATATATAAGCTTATACACAATTAATACATAGCTTATCAATAAATTGTCAATACCCAGCTTATCAATAAATAGTCAATACACAACTTGTACAAAGTATATATAAGCTCGTACATAGTTAATACACAATTTTTATAAAGTTAATATGTAGTAAACATATAGTCAATATACATCTTGTACAAAGTCAATATACAGCTTGCACATAGTCAATATAGAAGCTCATACATAATCAATACACATCTTATCAATAAATAATTAATACAAAGCTTATACAAAGTGGCAACAAGCTGGTATATTGTCTATATGTAGCTTGTACAAAGTAAATACATTGTAAATATACAACTTCTACACAATCAATACACAGCTTATACGCAATCAATACATAGTCAATAAAAAGCTTGTGCACAATCAATACTTAGTTAATACACAGCTTTTGTAATGTCAGTATACAATCAATACATAGCTTGTATATAATCAATACTCAATACATATATAATACACATAATATACACAAGGGGGATTATATAATATTAATATATATTGAGTGTGTATTGATTGTCTACAAGCTTGTACATAGTGTGTTGTACAAGCACATAGATGTATAAAGGAAAGACAACTTTCCAGTAAAATTTCCTTCATAAAATTTAGTCTAAAAATTAGAAAAAAACTACGCATTTACATGAAACCCTACAACTTGAGAGAAATTTAAAATTTATTGATAAGTTGAAACCTACAGCACCTTCAATCAAATTAACTTCCTCTTTATACTGTAAACTTTGTATGGTTGGCTGCAATCTTATTATCTTCAAGTCTTCCTAGACGTTTACATATTTCCTTTCGGCCTCCACATCATATGAGCATTTCATCTCCTCGAAGAATGCAACGTCCTCCTCCAAACCAATTTGCATTTTTTTCAGTTGTTCTTCATTTCGTTCTCAATAGGTATCAAAACTTTTATTGAGCTAAAATTCTAAACATTTAGGAGCTTTTGTGTCGGTTTTTTCTTAAAAAGAAGCCCTAATCATAAACCTTAAATTTAAACAGGATGATGAAGGCTTTTTCAAAAAGTCAAAACTAACACATCTAAGTCAGGCTGGGTCAATCCAGCTGATAAGAGAAAAATAAAATAAAAAACTCTATTAAATATTCACATGTATAATTCAAATATCAAGATTTTATTTAAGTTTAAATGCAGAGCTACATTCAGACATCGCACAGAATAATTTCTCATTGACAACCAGCCCTTTATTGTTGCTTGGCATTAGTTTTAATTTTTTTTTAAAGTTTTCTAATTAATGAAAAAAAAATCAAAAAATTCCAATGAAAAAAATTATAACCCTTTTTTATTTATAAAATTTGTCCTATATATTCGGCCACGCCGGCATGCATGACCGCACTGCAACATGGATTGCCATTGAAGATTTTAGAGTCTTTTTTTTTTTTGTGGAAAATTTGGGGCAAAGCCCTTCTATTAAAAAACAAGATGATTAGAGGTCATAAAAGAAAAAACCTATCAAAATACAAGTAAGATCACTATAACCCCAAACCAAAAAGGAAGTATCAAAAAGATGAATAAGTAACTTCTCCATTCTTTGGGACCCTTGGTTTTATGGAAACTCATTAGGTAATAGCTTCTCTTGCTATTCCAGAGTTGGCTGTTGTGTGAAGGACATTATCTTGAATGGCTGTTGGAATTTACCCGTTGAATGGCCTACTGAAATCTACACCAAAATTCAGGGAATTCCTATTGGGGACCAGGCTGATCTGGTTTGGGTTGGTACTTCTAAACCTATTTTTAAGCTCTTTATTACTCTTTTTTACTCTGGATTGGACAATGTGTATTGGTGCAAATTTATTTGGCATAAAAGGCATGCCATTAGATATGCGTGCTATGCTTGGATGGCTATTCAAAGTAAACTGAAAAGTGCTGATAATTTGATTTGTAGGGGGATTCCTGCTGCCCCTTGAAAGTTCGTTAGGGATGTTAGGCCCTATGGAACTGGCCCAAAGCTAATTAAAAGAAAGAGGATGTTACCAAAAATAGAAATCTTTTAGGGGCACAACAGAAAATCTTCCAAGTTACAAATCATCAGATGCCACATCAAATACAACAGACTCAAGAAAGGAAAAAGATTACAAACTGACACAGACCTAGTCTACCCAATCTTGAGCTGATTACAGATTGCAGTCTGATCGTGTGGACCTGAAATGTTAGTAGAAAGCAGTCATAGAAAAAAAAGATGTTTGCTATCATCAAAATCATAAGCCATAGATCCGTAACACCCCTAATTGCAGTTTTTGTATTGGGGAAATTGAAAATCATTCACATTTATTTTTTGGTTGTGACTACACTTTTAAGGTTCTTTCAAAGCTGTTACCTGCTGTTATCTCCTTCTATTTAAGACCAAATCTTTCCAAGCCTATGACTTATTCTGGAACAATTCTAATTTAACTAGTTTGGAGAAATCCTTTTGCTCTCTTACCATTTCTGCTTCTGTCTATTTCATCTGGAGAGAGCGTAATCAAGGGAGATTTTCTGATACTAGAAGGAACCTGAACTCTATTTTTGATGAGATTTGCCATGCGGTTCGTGCGAAGGTTGAGTACTGGAACAATATAGAGGAATTGGATGGAAAATTCTTTGAAATCCTGGGATAAGTGGTTTTGCGTGGTTTTTGATGGTTCTCTGCTTGCTCAGAATCTTACTTTTGAGTATTGGAGTTGCTGGGTTTTCTGGATGTCAATGCTTACGAGTTTTCTTGCTCCAATCAAATGCGAGTTAGCTTATTTTTTGTGGAGGCGGTTTTTGGGGATAACAGTGGAAGTTTGGACAATAATGAGCCATGGACTACATCGTGCACACCCTTGGATGATCTTTGGGCAACCAGGATGTGCAATTTTGTCAATTTTGTTGGTTTTTGATGTGGAGAGCTGCTCAGTGGGACACTGTGATGGCCCTTGGTCCTTTGGCGTATTTCATTGTGGCAACCAGTGCCCCTACCTGCTGCTGTTGGAATCATTTGAGGCCTGAAATGTTATGTTTCTTCTTTTTCATTTTTCAGGCTATGATATTCATGTCCTCTATCCTCTTATTTTAGAGTCTTAACTCTTAATAGTTTGCAACATCGCGCGTATGGCCCCCACCGTCACGTGGTGTAAGCGGAGCGCTGCTCCCCGATCCTTCGCATAGGCCCCACAAACCGTCAAACATCATCGTGCGCCACCACGCCGGATGTCTGGCCCCACACTACCAACATCGCTGTGTGGTCGTCGCAGCGATGCACGAAACTTAGCAATAGGTACTTGCCTCGTGGCACATCTTCCTCCTCCCACCAATTGTGCCATTCCTCATGATTCCCAAGCCCTTTCATCTTTCGCCCGTGACAACGTTGGAGGACCGTACCGTCTTCATGAGCGCCTACAGGAGCGGCTTGGAGCTGTCCATTTTTATTCTGCGGCGGATACCCATTTATTACCTGCATTATGTGAATAAATCTCGAGAACATCCTAAAATAGCATCAACGCCGTCCATTATACCTTTAGATTGTAATAACGTTAAATGATTCGTCCTCGCAGTTAAAAAATTTGCCCCGCATGATTCGAGTTGTCAATGGGCAATCTTTAGCTACAGGGATGGCTACACATTAGTAACAAATAGGAGTTGCCGTAGTCGCATCGCATGCAGCGAAACCCAAGTACATTTACCAGTTTTACTCTTTCCCTGTTTGCCCGTTGAAATAATGTACAGAAATTTCCCCAAAAAAAAAAAATATAATGTACAGAGGAAGGAGGTGGCATTCTCGTAGTTTCCTGTGAAAGTTTGGATATTCTTTTCTATTTTTCTCTGTAGCAGTATTTAACGCCGTCTATCTATTATACGGCCAATGGGGACGGGTTGAAACCCGTGAGCTCCTGCCATTTCTCTGCTCGCCTGGTTTTGATTAAAGCTTTAACCGTCCCTCTCTCTGCAGCAGATCTGCTGTTCTCTAGGAAATAAGAACTCTTGAGGGTATCTATCTGACGTAGTCGCTAATCGCTACGATTCTTTTTCTTTTAGGAAAAACTGTATCTGTGTGGATGCCTCGATGAGAGTTGCCGTGTTGTTCTAGTGGAAGATTGGGGATTCTTTTTTGGTTTGTCATCTGTTTCTAAGCAATTTTTTGGGGGAAGATTGAGGGTTGGGTCGGCTTACTGGCAATTAGGGTTACAATTTGTTTGTAAGGAAGAGGATGACTTCTGGGACGAGGCTTCCTACATGGAAGGAGAGAGAGAACAACAAGAGGAGGGAACGGCGGCGGCGTGCGATCGCTGCAAAGATCTATGCGGGCCTGCGGATGTATGGAAACTACAAGCTTCCTAAGCACTGCGACAACAACGAGGTTCTCAAAGCTCTCTGTAATGAGGCTGGATGGACAGTCGAACCTGACGGCACCACTTATCGAAAGGTACAATGCCTCGTTTATTATCAATTCTTCTTCAAGTGATAACTGCGAAAACCTGTGATGTTTTGAACAAAGTTTCATGGGATGCAAAATCGGTCACATAATTGTTGTTCTAGCATACTCCGGCGAAAGCAGCTTGTTGCCTGGGTTTTTAGCTTGGGCAGGCTCTGTTAACCTGCACTGACCGGGTACGGTGTCTATTAAGTTCTCAGCCTTAGTATTTGTTTAATTTAACTATTGCATCACTATTTGTTGGATTATTAAGAAATATTTTTATTCGGTACGCCGGCAGAGTCAGAGCGACGGATTTTACCAATCTTTTCTCCATGATTAGGGCTTGTAAAAGAACTTGATGATCCTTGTTCGATCATGTTCGGCGCACTTAGAAAATATGATCCCTTAACAGCGTTTGGAGTCGTGGCCGATAACCCGAACATGGTGCTCATCTTATAACTAACGATGTTTGCGGAGTCTTCTACCGATGCGCTTTCACTTTTGCCGGTGGAGGGGCCCAAATTTCTGCCATTGCTTATATTGTTCTACTTTATATTTCAAAAATTAGATTCTTTTAATTGCTCATTGGGAATAAAGGAGGGCTCGTGAAGGACAGCTAGGAAAGTAAGATTTATGAAGTTTTGAGATCTAGAAAAAGCTAACGTTTCTAATTGCTTCCTTTCTTAGCTTAATTGTTTGAAAAAAATGAAGTTAGATGTGAACACGCTGGAATCTTTGAATGTAATCGAGTTGCTTTTCTTTTTGCACGCTTTGAATCCCGGTGCTTAGGTGGCTGAGTCGTTGGTCTCATAAAAACCCTTGTGGGCCTAGTTAGTTTGGTCTTAGCAGTCAGGTTTTCTTTGTGCTGATTTTTTTATTAGTTTCAAGATGCTGTGCAATTTAATTTAGGCAGAAATTTTGGAGAGGATATTCTGACTAAGAAATTTTAAAATATTTGGATTTACTTTGAGATTAGTGTAATGTAATAATTGGTTGATTATTGATATTTTTTCGCTTTTCTGAAAACAAGCCTAAGAAATTTAAAACACATCAAAACCAAATTTTGTTCGGGATATTGTGACCTATTGTATCTCCATTAAATACAATACTCCCAATTTGTCAACTTAATGTGTTTCCACTGTTTATGTTGATTGTTTTTTATCCTTTGATTTGGTGAATTTGCTGTGATATATTGTTGTTTATATATTTACCACTTTAGTCTAAATCATAGGTACCAAAAATTCTTATGTATATATTTAGCATCAAAATTTTATTATTTTATTTATCATTTTAGTCTTAGGCTTTGTTTGGGACAACTTTCTTACTTCTTTCTAAAGAAACATTTTAGTAAAAAAAATTTATTTAAAAAATTTCTTGTATTAAAAAGATGCTTTAGAAAGCAATAAGAAAGTTGTTCCAAATGAAACATAAATCATAGTAGGCATATTCATGAAAAGGTGTGTTTATCTTTAAATAAGTTATATTTAGTATTATTTTTATATTATTTAGAGGTTTGAATGTTCGATAAGTAATTATAAAGATTTTGGTTTTAGATATATAAATTCATAAAAAAAAATTGTGATATTTATATAAATTCCCCTTCTATTTTCAGTTGCCTTTGTTAACAGATGATGAAATGGTTGAAATCATTGCCTACGATATATTCAACTTGAATTTGTGGCAACTTGCATATTTTTTTTTCTTGATTGCAATTTTACTATATTTCTCAGACTTTTCTAACAAGATTTTTAGCAATCCAAGCATTTTTGCCTTGGCTTTAACTAACTAGTAATATTGCCCAAGTTTGAGTTTTATCAACCAAAGGTAATGCTTTAACTTACTAGTAATATGCCCAACTTTGGGGCAATGAATTATATTTTTGAAAACCCAATTATCTTCTTCAATTAAACTGATCTAGAAATATATGAGTACTTCTACACTGCAGATAAAATTCACCAAAAAAAAAATCAAAAAATTAGGGAGAGCTGTGATTAGTTCACCTAAATAAAATAAAATTGAATCTGTTTTTTTTTGGAATTTATTTGGGGAAATATGTCTAGCTCAAAATATGCACGTAGAAAAAAGGCCACTCTCCCGCACTCTCTTATCCTATACGGCCAGTCAATATCTGCATGAGCTCGCCCTCAAGCTTCAGCTAGATGGCATCTAAAGTGGGCTAATTTTACGAGAAAGAAAGTGAAGTGATGGAGCTAATTAATCATTAATTGACTTGAGTGTTTTATTTTTATGGTCTCACATGATATATTTTAATAAAACTCGATCACTTTATCCTGTGGGCAAACCATTAAGGAGCTATAGTCCGCACTCTTCAGTCTTTTGCTATTATGGCATGTCATGAAATGAATCGAGTATATGGGTATGCAGCTAACACATTAGGAGTAGGTGAATATCTTATGTAGGCGTTGTTGAATTCAGTGTTCAAATGATGAAATATATTTGAGAACATCCATTATGTTTGGAGTATTTTACTCATTGCTACTATTAGCTTTCCTCATTTCAGATACCAATTTGGAATGCTCTTAAACCTTGAATCGTGCAATTAGTTATTCAATTCTGCTTTTTATGCAGGGATGCAAACCGCCTGAGCGCATGGAAATAGTTGGATGCTCAGCCCCAGCCAGTCCATGCTCTTCATACCAGCCAAGCCCCTACGCTTCCTCCTCCTTCCCAAGCCCAGCCTCCTCATCTTATTTCACCAGTGCCAACAACGCCACCACAGATGCCAACTCCCTCATCCCATGGTTAAAAAACCTTTCCTCAACCTCCTCCTCCTCCGCCTCCTCGTCGAAACCCCCTAGCCTCCACAACCTCTCCATCCACCATGGCTCCATCAGCGCCCCCGTCACCCCTCCCATCAGCTCGCCCACCGCCCAATCTCCCCGCATCAAAACTGATTGGGATAATCCAATGCAGCCTTCATGGCCAGTTGCTGCATCACACTATGCCTCCTTCCTGCAGAGCTCAACACCGCCCAGCCCTGGCCAGGCTTGGCTGTCAGGGATTCATATCCCCACCAGCAGCCCGACGTCGCCCACTTTCAGCCTTATCATGCCCAACCCATTTGGGCTTTATCAGGAGGGCGTCGCGAGCGCCGGGTCATCCAGGATGTGGACTCCCGGCCAGAGCGGGATGTGCTCCCCAGTCATGCCGCCTTCTGATGTGCAAATGTCGGATGATGCTTCTGATGAGTTTGCATTTGGGAGTTGCAGCAATGAGAACGGCCAGGCGCAGCAGCTGGGAGTGGTGAAGCCTTGGGAAGGAGAGAGGATTCATGAGGATTGTGGATCTGATGATTTGGAGCTCACTCTTGGGAGCTCGAGAACTAGAGCTGATCCTTGATGGACTTGAACTAGTTATTTATGGTAACAATGGTGTATTCGGATAATATTATATCAGTGGTTTAATTTGCTGTTGTTCGTAATCTTTAAATTAATTATGAAATATATTTGCAGTCCACGTCGATGTAATGTAAATGGCTTTAAAATCAACTGCTAAGTTATCTTAATTTAAATGATTTTTTTCTTAAAGACTTCAAATCCTTATGAGAAAGAAATGTGAAATCTAGCTGAGCTATTTGTAATAAGCATTGATATTTCATGTAATGTAGAAATTAACAGCTTGTACAAACTTGCTTATCTTGACCGTTTGTGATAATTAGACGCTTTTTTTAATATCTATTATATTATTATAAATATCACTTGAGATTTTTCTTAAATTAAAGCTGACAGTTTTCTTATTATTTTCTATAAAAAAAATTAATATAAAAATTTGTAGTTTGATTAATTTTTGCATTATAAAACTGTTTTAAAAAGCGAAAAGAAAGCTGTACCAAATGAAGTGTAAATTATTATAAATATCACTTGAGATTTTTCTTAAATTAAAGCTGGCAGTTTTTTTATTATTTTCAATATAAAAAAAAAATTAATATAAAAATTTGTAGTTTGATTAATTTTTGTATAAAAAGCAAAAAGAAAGCTGCCCCAAATGAAATGTAAATCCTATTCATCCATCCCAAATTAAATCCTACAACCTCCAACTCTTAGTATACATTAGCCTTTCCCATTTGCGCCCCAAACTGTTGTTGACCTAAATCAAATAGCAATACTGGGTTTTCGTCCCGGGTCGGGTTGTCAGGCCGCACAGTAAAGAGTAAGAGCACGTGGCGATGTTTTATTGGCGTTCGGATGTAGAGCTATTTCAGCTGTCCGGATCTAATAAAAATTCGAAAAAGAGGGAGAAATCTCAAGGGAAGTTTTCGACCTCTTTAGTTCTTGTGAGATCAGCAGTAAGCAATCTTCCAAACATATTTGAGCATCAACAATAGCATTTTGCAGCTCAGGCAGCCATTTTTCTGTGACAACTTTCTCATGCTCTCCAGCGTACAGTGATGCATGATGTCGGTTAATCTATTAAGAATTTTTTATGAAAATAAGAGAAAACTTTGCTAAAGATTGGCTAACAGGACTGCAAAAATTTGTAGCTCTCTCGACTATTGGGCTCCATCTGTGCATAGAGACATGGGCATTAAAACAAAGCTTTGCTAAGGCATAAATGAAGTATTGATTATTATATATATCATATAACAGCAAATTTTGTTTGAGTAAATTTGCAATGTATTTTCTTCTTTAAAATCATAACTAATATGCAACTCAGGCAAATATGACAAGTTACCAACAATTTTTTGAAATGTTTTAATCAAATACACCAAAAAGCCTATTTAATAGAGAAAGCTTGGAGCATTGAAGTAATAAAGAAGTATCCAGTAGTCACAGAAGTAGCACCCATCAGATGTATAGGAATCATGGTTCAGTGTCATTTGTATTTTTCCTCAGTTGAGGCTATCTTTGGAAAGTGATCAACAATAATGATTATATTCAATAAGCCTTTTTTTTTCTTTTTTTTTTCTTTTTTTTTTTAATTTTTTTCAACAAGCCTAGAAATGTTATTTTGCAATTTTAGGGTTTCCCCGCCGAATGCCAGGTTATCTGGAATATGATACCACACAATCTTAATTGTCCATTCCAAACCGTGCTAGATTAAATGGTTAGTGATGCACGTTGACATGGATAAGTCAAAACTGCATGCATCGTTGTCGTCTAATGATTGACATTTAAAGCCGCATCGTCCTATCCCAGCTTATCCATCATATCATCAATGATTGCTGGTGGCGCAATCATTGTTAATAAATGCGCAGCTAGTATAATTTAATAAAACCTATTTTAAAATTTATTTTAATCATAGAAACTTCTAAAAATCATAAAAATTTGGTTTTTAATGGATTTTGATGATTTTGGTGGCTATAGATTTAGAACTAAAATACCTTTTACTTAAAATTAATTTTGAATAAAAATATTGCACATTTATTAAGTGATATTCATTAATCTATTTTTTAGATTTTTATTAATTATTTAATAAATATAAGCCTAAATAATCTATGATTTAGTGGACTAATTTTAACCATATTTATGATCTATCATATTTTTTTCAACCTCATTTAGTCTTTACATTAACTATAATCACATTTACAAACTCAAAGATCATGATTTAACATTTAACATTGAAAATTGATTATAATTACATTTTGAACTCATTTCATGCATATAACCCCTCCATGGAATCATTAAACAGAGCTTGACATTTAAAAATGAATTCAATGGGATATGTTGAGTATTTAGTGAATGATTGCATCATGTTTATTTACAAAATTTTCTTTAATTGATCACTATGTACTTAAATGTTATGTTCATCATTGGCTAGGTTAAATGATAGGACCCTATTAATATAACCTAGTCATTGTAGAACTAAATGGATATATACTTTTTAATTGATTGAATTCCAAAATAATTAGGTTACAAGTCTTAATACTTGGAAATTCATCAATTTTCATTTCCCTTTGTCTTAGGACACCATGATTGTCATTATTTGATTGTATACACATTTGCAAGGGTTTGTGATTATGATTTGCAATCCTATCAAACACTAGTATCACCTAAGGAAAATAGTCAAGGGATAAGTCTAGCTAACTTAGGCAATCTTAGGATTCATAAACAGATCATATAGGGATGAAACATTAAACAAAAAAAAAACATTAAATCACACTTTGATTTGACATAAGTAAACCTCAAAATAATAATTAATAAAATTAATACTTAATTTAGGCTAAACTTCAATAAATTCTAATAAATCAAATAAAATCTTCAAAAAAAAAATTAACTTTAATCAACTTCAAATCAAATGTATAATCATTAAAAATTGAAATCCAAACTCAAATTAATTAAATTTAATTAATGATAATTTATTTTATTTATATTTATTTTAAAATCAAATAAATTTAATAATTAAATTTTATACTTTTATGCTTAACACTTGATTCCATTTGGAGGGTGTTTTAACATTACATTTTAAAGCCTTAATGTAGCTAAATCATCATAATCCCTTTATGTAAGGCTTGATTTCATTTGAAGGGCACTTATATATGTGATTAAAGTTAATAAAATTTAAACATCCCATTAAGGGTTCTATGCACCATGTTAGCCTCCACTCATGGAAGGTATGGGTGTATAATTTTTTACAACCCTTAATCAAGCAAAAAAAAATTGCTGAACCTATGCATTATGCTTGACTCTACTTGGAGGGCATGTGTATTGGATTGAAGGGTCCCTTTCTCAATCCTTAATAAATCATTTAATAAAACATCAAGGCTTTATGTTGTCATCTATCTTATAGGGGAGATTATGACATTATTTTTATAAGCCTTAGGATTTGTATGTTAGTAGCCCTTGCACTTTGGGGTTATTAATCTACAAACTATTAACTCCAACCATTAAAATTTAATTAATAAAATTCAAACATACACAAGTTAAACTTTAACTAAATAAACCCCTTTTGGACTTTAATGAATAAACATTTCAAATTCATGCAACTTAAACATTAAACTCTTATAGGATACATCAAAGCTACATATCCTCTTTCACACACATAGATAGTTTGCTAGGACAACCAACTTTAGCCTAGGTTAGGTTAGCGGTGTGAACTGATTGCCGGGTGCTTTGCTTGGAGAACACCCTTTATTTGGTTAATTATATTTATGCACTCTGGAATGTCATACCATTTATTTTTTGTTGGTGCACTTAGACATCTTTAAGGACTACATTAGAAGTATTATGATATTTCACAACTGTTACGTATAATTCATATTCTAAACCTTTTTATGCATCTCTTTATATTTTATGTAAGAGTTAATAGAATGTACCTATGAGCTGATTTTTATGTACAAGTGTATGAAAAAGTACATTTTTGTATGGATCGAACTATATAGTATCCAGTGTTATAAAAGAGTCAAATACACCTGCATATTTATATAGGTGGGCCTCCAAAAGACGATGTCCCCTGCCTTTATGGGATAATCTCTTTGGGAATTCCATAGAAGACTTGGAGCTCGAAGACATTATAGAGGTATATCTAATTCTATATATGGTAGGCTTGGAATACAGGTTTATCGTGGAGAAGCTTTGGACACCTTATTTTCTTATAGAGTATATTGTATATCTCAAATGAATTTAATAAATAAAATTTTTATATTACACTCTCTTTCATTTATTGCATACATACATTGCATCATATGGGTGGTATATTGCATTAGTGGGTAGAATTTTCCTATGTTTTTCCTCGATGTATGTGTTGCAAACTTTGTTGCTAAATATACTAGTTCTAGGATGATACAGTACTGGGTACTATATCTACAAACACCTTTACCCTAACAAGCATATATACATGCATTTTTTTTTCTACAAAGTAAAGTAGCCCAACATATAAGCAATGGCAAGGTATGAGAAGCCTAACAGATGGGGTTTTTGTAGTTCTCCTATGTTTTTTTCCATTATGCTGTTGAAATTTCTTCAAAATTTTGGTGGTTAGAAAATTTAGTTAGGTCAATCAAATTAGATAAAATGTTGAGTTCTTAGTTAGTCTTCTTGATGGCGTCACTTGAACTTAAAATGAAAATTCATCTTGGAACACTAATTTGAAGTCTAATATACTCCTTTGAACTCTTAGGATAGATCTAACTTTATCCTAAATTACATCTACGATGATTGCATGTGTATTAGGTTGTTAGCTGGCTACTCATTCTAGGCAAGCATAAGCCTAGTTGTATGTACACACCGCATATTCCTAATAAATAATAAATATATATATACATATGTTAAATAAAGTGTAGTTTCTATAAAATTTAACAATATTTTAAAATGATAATTGATATTTTCAAAACATCTAAGGCAACTTTCTTATATACATGATTGTATTATAAGTTTATAATTTAATCTCCACTTTCATCAAAAGTTTTCTCTTTGGAGATGTAATCGAATGTAGGGGCTTGCCTATATAGGAACCCAAGATCCCAATATAAAATAAACCCTCTCTTAGTTTGCTAAGAAAGGGCAAAAAACTTTGGATGTCAATCAAGCAAATTTTGAGTCAATTTTGTATTTAAAATGATAGGTGAATGTGACCTTTATCCTTTGTAATA